TTTCATTTTGTGTAATACCACTTGTCAATTCTTGCTGATTTCTTGGGCTATCGTCCTATTCAAAAGAGTTTTGTGCCTGTATCTTTGCTTTTCCTGTTTTCTTTTAGTAGTTTCAGGTCTTAAATTAATTTGTTTTCCCAGCACCAATTGAAGATGCTCTTTTCTACAATGTATTTCAGCATCTTTGTTAAAAGCTGGATTTTATGGGTTGTAGCTCCATGGGTTTATTTCAGGGTCCTCAATTCTAGCCCACTATTGGTCTCTGTTTTTGTGTCAGCACCATGTTTTTGTTACTACTGCTTTGTAGTATAACTTGAGATCAAGTGTTGTAATACCTGTGGCATATTTTTTACTCAGGATTGCTTTGTCATCTTGAGGACTTTTGTACTTTCATATTAATTTTAGTATTTTCTAATTGTCATTAATATCATTGGAATTTTGATTGGGATTGTATTGATTCTGTGGATTGCTTCTGGCAATAGTCATTTTCCTTCTGCCAGCCAGCGAAGGGTTTTTTGTTTTGTTTTGTTTTATTCATTTTTTTCATCTTCTAGTGTCTTCAATTTCTTCCTTTGGGGCAACTGTTTTCACCGTAAAAGTCTTGCACTTTGTTTAGGTTTATTTCTAGTTATTTTCATCTTTTCCCTCTCCTGCAGTTTTTTTTTTTTTTTTCCCTTGAGACAGGGTTTGTCTATGTAGTCCAGACTATCCTGGAACTTGCTATGTAGATCAGGCTGGCCTCAAATATCCTGCCCTCTTCAAATACTGGAATTAAAGGCATGCACCACCATGCTTGGCCTGATTTTTCTTTTCAACATGTGATTACCATTATATAGAAAAGCAACTGATGCTGACTTTGTATCTTACTACTTTGATGTAAGTCATTAGCTGTAGGTTTTCTGGTGTTGTCAAGATCTTTTAAGTATAGGATCACAGTCTATAAATAGGGATATTGGCCATCTTCCTTTGCTGTGTGTATCCTTTATTTCTCTGGTGTAAGAATTCAAGAACTACTCTGGACAATGGAGAGGATATATTTCTTTTTAAAATTGTTTGTTATATTTATTTTGGGGTGCCCTGTGCTTACCATAGGGTGCCAGTGGTCAGTAGTGGAGAGCACCTCTCTCTCTCTCTCTCTCTCTCTCTCTCTCTCTCTCTCTCTCTCTCTCTCTTTTGTTTTTTGAGACAGGGTTTCTCTGTGGCTTTGGAGGCTGTCCTGGAACTAGCTCTTGTAGACCAGGCTGGTCTCGAATTCACAGAGATCCACCTGTCTCTGCCTCCCGAGTGTGGGATTAAAGGCGCGTGCCACCAACCTGGCTCAGAGGACAACTCTTAAGAGTTGTTTCTGTCCTTCTACCATATGGGTCCTAGAGATTGAATTCAATTTGTCAGGCTCAGTAGTAAGTACCTTTATCTGCTGAGCTATCCCACTAAGTAGTCATTGTTTTCCTATTCCTGAATTTACAGGGAATGCTTTCATTTTTTCTCCATTTAGTATGGTGTTTGTGATAGGATTTCTGTATATAGCCTTTACTTTTAAATTTATTAGTTTTCCATTTTTATGTGTGGTGCACAAATTTGTATATGCATGCCTACATGTGTAGCCATATATGGTTGAGTGTGCTTGTATGTAGAGATCCAAAGTTGATGTAAAGAATCATCTCCTGCCAGGGGGTAGTGGTGCACACTTTAATCTCAGCACTCAGGAGGCAGAGGCAGGAGGATCTCTGTGAGTTCGAGATCAGCCTGGTCTACAAGAGCTAGTTTCAGGACAGCCCCCAAAGCTACAGAGAAACCCTATCTCGAAAAACAAACAAAAAATCATTATCTCTCATAACTCTTCTACCTTATTCATTGAGACAGGACCTCTCAATCAAACTGAGTTCACTTAAATGCTATTCTCACTAGCCAGTTTCTCTAGGGATTCCATCTCCACATTCCAAAGCTAGAATTATAAACATGTGCGCACTTGCACACACACAGCATTTACATGAATTCTGGGGATCTGAACTCCAGTATTCACACTTGTATGGTAAGTACCTTACCCACAGAGCCATTTTCCTAACCCTTAGATTTAAATTACATTTATGTTTGTGTGTGCGTGTGGGCAGGAAGACAATATTGGGGAGTTCTCCATGTTGACCAGGTAGGTGCTGGGGATGAACTCAGGTGGTCAAGCTTGGAGGGAAGTGCTATTACTGGATGCTAACTCTCTTACTATGGTAAGATATGGTCCTTCTAAATATAGTTGCTTCAGGACACTTACCATGAAAGAGTATTGAACTTTGTCAAATGTATATATCTACTGAGGTAAGCATGTGATTTCTGTCTCCGATTCTATTTGTGTACTAAATTAGTTTACTGATTTGCTTCTTTTGAACCACCTTTACATCCTTGGAGTAAAATTAACTTGATCTTCAGCAGTAGTGGTGTATACCTTTAATCCCAGCACTCAGAAGGAAAGGCAAGTGGATCACTGTGAGTTTGAAACCAATCTGGTCTACAGAGTGAGTTCCAGGACAGCCAGAGCTACACAAAGGAACCCTGTCCTGAAAAAGGAAACAAAACAAACAAAAAAAACCCAAACAAACAAACAAACAAACAAAAAGCCTAACTTGATCATGTTGTAAGATGTTTTTTAATGTGGTATTAAACTCAGTTTGCAAGTATTTTATTGAGAAAATTTGCATCTATGTTCACACAGGAAACAAGTACTAAAACACTAAGAAATGTAAGGAAAGGTCAAAAAGGAAATGATAAGTACAGGGGGACTCTGAAAAGTATCACATTTTCAGGAGTCATAGTTAAATCCGAATGGGACAACAACAAAATGATAGAAAATAGTGAATTGTAGAATATAATATAAAGGGCAGGAGTCAGATAATACATAGAAATACATGGGAATATTCTAATGACAAACTTACCAGAAAGCAAGAACAAAGAATAACCTGAAGCCATGATAGAGAAAAACAACCAAAGTGGCAGTCAACTGAAAATAAAAAGTAACGTGGAGGCTTCCTAAAAAAAATCCCCATGGAAAAAAAAAAATCCCCATGAGGCAGAAAGCAGTGGCCTTGGGGACTAAAATCTAAGACCTTGAAGGGTTGTGTAAATGGTTTGAAGTACGGATTTTGTATTTATTTGGTACACATAAAAATATAATTCATTTATCCCTAATTAGAAGGGATATAATCATCATAGGTCTATTCTGCCTTTTAGTTTTTTATTCTGTCCCTGAAATTGCCAAATATTTCTACTAGACAGTGGGAATAAAGACAAGCTTCACATTAAATGGATTTGTCAAATACCTTTTGGGGAATCAAACTTTTATAAATTCATGTTTGTAAAAATATTTTGAATATACGTATCTTTAAACTCCAACTTAAAATAAAAAGTTCTAATAAATGTATGGAATATTTTTCCTATGAAAATAAAGAAATATACATATAGTGACAAAAACATGCTTAATCACAAGATAACATAGCATATAGTCAGCTAACCTTAAAAACTTCTTTGACCCCAGTAATTGCCAAACATTTTTAACAGTCTTAATGAACAATATAATTCCAAAAAATTTACAGATGAACCCTACTCTGAATATAAAGGTGACTCAAAAAAAAAAAAAAAAAACCCACCTAAGCTAAAGGCACTAAAGAGATAATACAATGGCTTAAAGAACAAAGTGTAAGCTTATTTCTTTCATGTTCTGAGATTAAAGGTCTTAGTGGCGGTAGAGCTATTTCATGAATTACTCACAGGCCCAGGGTCCTTCTGGCACATTATTTCACCCCCATCACATGATACTGTCATTTAGACTAGGACTGAAGAAAAATGATCTTGAGTTCCTACTGGGAAGCAAGTTGGGCATCTTCAAGCCTGCCTTGACAGGAGCACTCACTACTTAAGTTCACACTTTGCTGACAGAAACCTGATGCAATGAACCTGAGCCATGCACATACCTCTGTACCTCAGAAAGGAAGTCTGGATTATTATAGAAGTCTGGATTATTATAGGATAGCTAAGTAATTTCTGACAAAAAGGTCTTTGAAGCAATATAAAAATGCCTTTATTAGGAAGCAGCTGTAATAAAAATCAGGACAGTGGTGATCTTTGAGCAAGGAGAGGATTTTGTAAAAAATGAGATTATAGCAATGCAAGCAGTAATTTTCATCTAGGCTGGATGGCTATGAATTCCCAAGTTCTACCTGCCTCCAACTCCAATGCAGAGGTTAGAGACACATATAGCCTTGCCTGGCTGGCTTCTTCAACTGAGTACAAGGGATTCAAACTCAGCTGCTCAAGCCTGCTGACATTTCCCCTGAGTCATCTTTCCAGCCCCAAGTGCTACTTAACTGAGAAATTGTGTTTATGAACAACATTTGTGCTAATACTCTCAATGATTTCATCTTAATATCCTAACTTAATATGATTTATAACTTATTTTATAGGAAAAGAAATAAACCACAAATTACTGGCTTTGCTAGTTAAAAAAAAACAAAAAACCCTACTTAATGTTACAAACCTTTCAGGTATACCCGTGCCTTCTGAGTATATGCCATAGCTTTTTACTATTATACATCATAAAGTCATACACAAAACCATTCCTCTCTAATACCCAGAATTTATATATTTTATGACAGTATAATATAATGACAAACACTTATGACCATATTCAATAGCAAGTCCAATTACAAATTCAATAATCTAGGAGTCAATCATGGGACATTATGAAAGATACCATCTCCTTTGAAGATACTAGAGTACTTGGAACAAGGAAGACTGTTTTATTAAACCATTGGGGTTAAAGGACTTTGAATTTAGTAAGCAATTTAGTGACAATGATGGAGAAGGAAGGGTATTGGAAACCACTTCTGTAGGCAATGGAAATCCCTACAAAACAAGTTCTAGGAAATAATTTTATTATATTCATTTCATCTTTAAGTCTTACTTTTTAAAATAACTGACATTCAAGACAATAAAAGGCTCATAAAATTACTTACTCTTTGTACTCTCTCCCTCATTCTTAGAATCCATGAAATCACCTGAACGCATAGCACACATAATCTTCTGAGCAACAGTGGAGAGGGGTGTCTCACAGAGATCAAAACCTATACATGCCTCATAACTTTCCATTTTCAAAAAGTCCTAAATGTAAGATAAGTACCATATATTAATTTTAAGATTTTAAAAGGACTTACATATATTTTCATTTAAAAGGTATTAACAAACTACAGGAAACAGGTTTCGGTTATCTAACACAGGATGGAAAAATGAAGAGTGAGACCTGTTGGTACAAGATGAATTAGGAGGCCGAGGCAGGACACGCTTCAAGCCTGCCTGGGCTACAGAGCAAGTTCAAGGATAGCTGAGCAAATTAGTTAGACCCAATCTCAAATATTTTAAAAGTTATTTAAAAAAAAAAAAGTGTGGGGGATGGCGCTCAGTAGCATTTGCTTGGTATGTGTAAACCTTAGATTTGATTCCCAGTGCTACAAAACAAAACCAACCAGAGGCTCATCTGAGGAATCACAATAAACATATAAAAATACTTTCTAATTAACCAGTTATGATGTAAGCAGTTTACTTAAATAATCCTCAGCTCTGAAAGCTGGCTATTATTAATTTTCAAGCATACAAATTTGGCAATACAGTAATTAAAATTGACTTGGGTCATCAAGGTAGACAAACAACCAACCATCTTGGCACTGACACACTCTATTGGTCCCCCTGGCTGAGTAGGTATAGGTTTAGGTGGGAAATACAGAATATCTGGTTCATATAGCTAAATTATCTGGCACCCACCAAGAAAAGCAGTTAACACATTTTCCCACATTGAGAAAAGAAAAACTCAAATGCCTTATCTCTGGACATTCAAATGAATAACTGACAGTTAAATAATTTTTTTTTGGGGGGGGCGTTGTTTTGTTTTGGAGACAGGGTTTCTCTGCTTAACAACTCTGGCTATCCTGGAACTCGATTTGTAGACCCGGCTGGCCTTGAACTCACAGAGACCCACCTGCCTCTGTCTCCCAAGTGCTGGGATTAAAGGCTTGCACTACCACTGCTTGGCCTGGTAGTTAATTATGACAAGATTTAATGTTAAAGTTTTTTTTTTTTTTAATCAAGTGCATTAGGTTCACCTAACAATAAATTTATAACATGTCATTTGTAACAACTGACAAAAATGCATTTGCTTGATGGATTATAAAAATACAGTGCATGGCCATTTTCTACCTTTAGTTATATCTTAGAAATGTCCATAAAACTATGTAGTTTTTAAGACTGGAAAACTATATAACAAAGGTAAAGAATATTGTTAGAGGTATTTCCTAAAGCTGAACAATTACAATATTTAGTATTTAACAGGGATATATCATAAAATGAACTCTCTGGGAGCATTTTATAAAACGTCTGATAGGCAGTCAAGTCTAGAAGTATATGCTGATAATCCCAGCATGGTCAAGGCAAGATCATGAATTGAAGGCCAATTCGGGCTACAAGATTTTTTTAAGACTTTACCTTTAAAAAAAGTATTTAGCTGGGTAGTGGTGGCCCACACCTTTAATCCCAGCACTCAGAAGGCAGAGGCAGGTGGATTTCTGTGTGTTCAAGGCCAGCTTGGTACACACAGCAAGTTCCAGGACAGACTCCAAAGCTACAGAGAAACCCTGTCTGGAAAAACAAATACAAAAAAAAAAGAATTTAAAAATCAAACTAAAACGCCATTTCCAATCTTTAAAATAATTAATTGTCCAGGGCTGAAGAGATGGCTCAATGGTTATAAGCACTGACTGTTCTTCCAGAGGACTGGGTTCAATTCCAGTATCCATAAATTTAGAAAGTGATAAAAGGAATTAAAAAAATAATTGTCCAACATTTCCTTTCCTAAGAAAGTGATTTAAATATCATAAATCCTTTAAGCAATCACTTGCACAGAAACTTAAATTTCAAATTTCATTACTCATGCTATAATCTCACTGGTTAAAGCTCTAGTATGGGACAACCTAACCCTTAAAATGGAAATGCTCAAACTCTGTAGTGCAAGTAGATACATTGGAACTTCTCAAAGGTTACAATAGAGAATTAGGGGAAAATACTTCCAGCAGCAGAATTTTACTTTAGTCAAATACAAGACATGGCTATTGAATATACAATAGTCTATTCAATGAAACTGCACATAGTATCAAAATCTATGTATCTGCTATCAGGTATTAAATGACTAGTAAAAAAGGTCAGGTATGTAGCACACATATACTGAACAAAAGTACAACACATCCCAGGTAGGAGGTTTCAGAGGAAACACAGGAAAGCATACAACTTAAAACTTATGATTTTTTTAAAATTCAGTATTTTCAGATCACAGTTGACCTCGGATAGTATAACATGCATAACAAAGGCAGGTAGATGGATTTAAGTTCAAGCCAGGTCTGGCCAGTCAACACTACAAAAGCACAGCACTTCTACTCTGTCAGTGGTTACATGGGTTAAAACCCAATGTCACAAACTTAATATCCCTTTACTTAAATGAGTGGGACCAAAGTGTTTCAGATATTTTAATTTTTGTATATATACAGTTAGCTATTTTAGGGATAGAACCCAAGTCAATATGTGAAATTCATTTATATTTCAGACAAATTTTATATAAATAAGACTGAAGGTAGTTTTAAAATTTAGTGTATGTATTTTATGACTCTGACCAATCATGTAAGATCAGATGTAGAATTTTTTTCACTTGAGAAGTATCACAGCTGCTTTATTTAAAAATTTCAGATTAGGGAAGTTCTGAATCTATTGACACAGAATCTATTAAAATAAATGTTCTGTTGATCTTAAATTTATAAACTTATTTGCACTGAGGCTGATGAGATGGGTTAATCACTGCCACCAAGACCGATGATTGGATTTCCATTCCCAGAGCTCTTGTGGTAGAAGGATAACAGAACTCCTACAAAATGTTCTCTTACCTCCACATATTACATGGTACACACTAATACACAAGGCTGCACATACACACATCCCTCCCCACATACTAAATAATTAGTAAAATTATTAGTGCTTATTAGTAGTGTTTATTAGAAATAGCCTCTTAATACTTATAAATCAAAACACAGCAGGCATAGTAGATTCAGTTATTATGACCAGGGGCCTTAGTCTTTGACTGGTTTTCTAAATTTTCAACAACATCTTTTAGATAGTCTTCATCTTTAAAAAAATATACATATAATTCTCTTTCCACTTGATGCAATTTATTAGTTGCCAAAATTTTTCTTTTTGTCTTCACATCAGCAAGAATATCAGTAAGAAGATGATTTAGTTTATTCAACTTAGATTCAACTTGATGAAAATGCTCCATTAACTCCTGAAAAGAGGAGAAAAAAGCTTTATTTCAAGAACTTTATCCCTAATACCAACTAGAAATTTAAAATATAACTTAAAAGGAAATTCCATTGATTTAATAACTTCTCACAATCATAATAAAAAGCCCTATTAGGTCATAGTGGTGGCACATACTCTTTTTTTTTCTTTTTCTGTTTTTTTTATTTAATTCCAACCCACAACCAGCCCCCCTCCCTCTCTGCTCCCTATGGAGGGTAGGGCTCTCCATGGGGCTCCCCAAATTCCACAATAATAATCCTGGCCAAGCCTAGGCCCTCCCCATGGGTGGCACATACTCTTAATCTCAACACTTGGAAGACAGAGGCAGGAAGATCTCATAGTTTTAGGATAGCCTGATCTGCATAGTTAATTCCAAGCCATCTAGGGTAACATGGTGAGATCCTATCTTTAGAAAAAGAACTAAAGAAAAAAAGATAAGGCTGAAGAGATGGCTCAGTGGACAAAGGTACTTGTTATCAAGTACCTTTGATACTTGATGTGATACACTTTGATACAAGTGTGATACTTGATCACACTTGGCCTGATGACCCAAGTGTGATCCCCCAAACCTACATGTTCAAAGAAAACATCAGATTCCCAATTGCCCTATAATCCCTAGACAGATGTGTACCCCTCCACACACAAAAATAAATAAATATAATAAAATTTTTTAAAAAGAAAAAAACCAACCCTTAATATGTTGGGCATGGATGGTGCTCATGTTTGTAATCCCAACAGTAGGAAAGCTGAGGCCGGGTTGCTGTAAGTTTGAGGTCAGACTGGGATACACATTTTTTTTTTTCAGATCTCAACACATCTGAAATGAAGATGCATCTTATCATAGACACCCTCATGTGGTGACTATTGATGGCCACGCACTCTTTTCAAATGAGCATGGTGGCTCAGACCTGTAATCCCACCACTTGGAGGCAAAGGAAAGACTGCTACAACTCTATGTAGCAAATTTCAGACCAGCAAGAGCTACAGCATGAGATTCTGTTTCAAACAAAAAAAAATTTTTCCCTAATATTCTTGATGTAGAAAATGTGACAACTGTGAATTACAAAACAATTTAGAACAATTCAGAATTAAGCATGAGGCTTTAGAAGTATTCTACTCATTTTAATTGGCTTATTTTCCTCCTTTATAATATGCTTAAGAAACAGTAACACAATGATGGGCTAGAGAGACAACTCAGTAGACAATGTCAATTACAGCCAAGCCTGACAACCATAGTTCAATCCCTGGAAAGATATGGTAGAAAGAAGAGAATCAAAGTCTACCTACATCTAAAAAACCCCTTCTAGCTTGTGTGTGTGTGTGTGTGTGTGTGTGTGTGTGTGTGTGTGTGTGAGAGAGAGAGAGAGAGAGAGAGAGAGAGAGAAAGAGAATATGTGAGAGAGAATATGTGTGTGTGCTCCTGCTTCCTGTCCTCAAAATGAGAACATCCTCTGCCACCATGATGCTCTAAGCACATAGGGCGCAATGATCATGAATTAAACCTCTAAAATCACAAGCCAAATAAAGCTCTTCTACTTTAAGTTGCTTCTGCTGGGTATTTGGTCTATACAAAAAGTGTGTACACATAACTAACACACAGACTAACCATAGAAAATTAGAAATTATTTTAACATGTCAAGAGAACAGGTAACTGTGAAATTTTGTATAACAGAACAATAATTATATAAAGGTGAAAACTAATGTATGTCTATATACATGAGCTTAAAAAACAGTGTTAAAAGATAAGTACATAAGCCGGGCATTGGTGGTGCATGCCTTTAATCCCAGCACTCAGGAGGCAGAAGCAGGCGGATCTCTGTGAGTTCGAAGCCAGCCTAGTCTCCAGAGTGGAAGAAGAGCACCAAAAGAAACAAAAAAAAACCCCTTCGAAAAAAAAAAAAAAAAAAAAAAAAAAAAAAAAAAAAGATAAGTACATGCTGGGCATGGTGGCATACAAGTTTAATCCCAGCACTGGGGAAGAGGAGGAAGACAGAGCTCTGTGAGCCCAAGACTGGCCTGATTTACAGTGTGTCCCAGTTGAGCCAGGAATACACAGGAATAGCCTGTCTCAAAAAAGAAAAAAAGAAAACAAACAAAATGAAAACAAGCGAATGCCAGTCACTGGGAAGCATGTTTATAATCCCAGCACTCTGGAAGTGAAAGGAGGAGGATTGAAAGTTTTGGGCCAACCTGAGCTACAAAATGAGTTCAAGGCCACCCTGATGAAGTCCTTGTCTAGCATGTAAAAGGCCCCAAGGTTTGATCAACAGTCTCAGGGATTAAATACTAAGTTTAGGGTACAGGGTAAGAACAAATGAATTATTGAAATATACAATTTCATGCACATAAAGTTCAAAAACAAGTTAATATACTATCTAAGAATTTATTTATATAATAAAACTCAAAGACAGAACTACTCAAAAGTTGGGGAATTCCATTAGCAGAAGCAAGTAAGTACACACAGATTTCAAAGACAGAAGCGCAATCCTCTCTTTGCTAAAATAACAAGTTTACTTTCCTTATACAGCATCAATATTACATATCCTTTTATAGCGGTTGAAAATTTTATTAATTTTCAAATTCTATACACAACATTCAAAATTATTTGAATATGTATGAGGAGTTACAAAAAGACCATAAGGTTTTGTATGGTGGTATATGCCTATAATCCCAGTACCCAGGAGACTTTGAGTTAGAGACCAGCACAGGCTACACAGCAAGACCCTGTCTCTCTAAACAAATACATTTTATAATAATGTAATGGGATAAGATAATCTTTTCTTCATATTTTCTTTTATAAGGAACATTCTTTTTTTTATTAATTTATTTTTTACATCCCAGTTCCTCCTCGCTCCTGTCCTCCTGCTTCCTCCTTCCCCGCCTCTTCCATCGGGTCCTCAGAGAGGGTAAGGCCTCCCCTCAGAAGTCTACTAAGACTGCCCCATCATCTCACTGAGGCAGGACCAAGGCACCTCTCCATCCTCACACCCCTGTGTCTAGGCTGGACAAGGTATCTCTCCATATAGAATGGGCTCCACTAAGTCAGTTTGTGCATTAGTGTTAGATCTTGGACCCACTGTGAGTGGCCTCATATATTGTCCCAGTTACACCATTGTCACCATTAAGAGAGTCTAGTTTGGTCTTATGCAGGTTCCCTATTTGTCAGACCTGAGTCAGTGATCTCTCACTAGCTTAGGTCATCTGATTCTGTGAGTTTCCCCATCATGATCTTGATTCCTTTGTTGATATTATTGCTCTTCCTCTTTTATAAGGAACATTTTTTAAATGTCATTTTTTTATTTGAATAAGTATTTTTGCTTGGATTTGTGTATGTGTACCACATGTGGGCCTGATACCCACAAAAGCTGAAGATGTCAGAACCCCTAGAGCTAGAGTCACAGATGGTTGTGAGCCACCATGTGGATTCTAGGAATGAAACATGGATCCTCTACAAGAGCAGCAAGTATTCTTAACAACTGAGCTATCTCTCTAGCCTCTTACAATAAGCATCACTTTTAAAAGCATTTTAAATTTCCTAGGAAAACACTTACCTGATCACAAAGCAATAGCTGGTTCCCTCCGTGATACAAAGCATCACAAAGCATGTCCACATCATTATTCAGTTTGGACAGAAAGAAAAACTGCTCTTGAGTAGATACTGCCAACTGATTGTGTATTAGAGAAACATCTTGTTTCAATTTCTCAGCCACTTCCTCCAGGTGTTCATGGGTTATAAACAATTCTTTTTTCTTACTGTCTCCTTCTAAAAGTTGATAAAGCCTAAAATACAAAATTTAAAATTCAAGAGAAAAATGAGTTTTCAAAATTATAACAACCCACCATAAGTAACAACTGAGAAGTAGTAATTTATGTGTTTCTAATATTGAGCAACTGAAACCATCTCAAGTACAATATAATATTATTTCAGAAGAGAAACATCTGAATTCGAGCATATGGTACAACCCTGTGTCATCCCAGAACTCAGGAAGCTAAAGGTAGGTGGAGCCTCAAGGTTACAAAGCAAATTCAAGGCCAGCAAGACACTCTCTCCAAAAAGAAAAAAAAAAAAAAATCTGAATTTTCAGTTTTTCCATCTTCCATATTTTAGATATAAACTTCATCTTGATTTTTAGCTGCCATTAGTTTATTTTCAAAGTGAGCTTCAGTGATACATCCCAAAAAAACATTTCTTTCACAGTAGCAGCAGCAACAATGACCCAGGGAAAAATCAATTTTTTTGTTTTTGTTTTTCGAGACAGGTTTCTCTGTGGCTTTGTAGGCTGTTCTGGAACTAGCTCTTGTAGACCAGGCTGGTCTCGAACTCACAGAGATCCGCCTGCCTCTGCCCCCTGAGTGCTGGGATTAAAGGCGGGTGCCACTACCGCCCAGCTCGGAAAATCAATCTTTAGTGCCTATTTCACAAGATTGTGGTGGGATTAAAGGAGAAAAATTTTTAAATGTAAATATTGCAAAATGTAAACAATTGAGAGTTATACATATGGCATTGACAACAAACTTCCTACTTTAATTTGTTCAGTATTCTGTTTGGCAAAAATCCTGATAATTAACAAGACCATTTGAACATTTCGCTTAATGGCAGAAAAGACCATCAGTCTATAGGACAAAAGAAAATCTAAAGCAATTATGTTATACCTGCCTGATAAAAAGATATGGTCTCTTACTTATAATATAAATAACCAACAAATAACTTGCTCTCTTCACACAAACAAATCTTAACAGACCATAAACTGGATGAAGTCCAAAGTTGCCAATTATAATCCTGAGGACTGTAATTATTAATGACACAATTACCCACTGGCACATTCACATAGATCATGCTGTTGATGGAAACCCCAAAAATTTAAACAATGAGACAACCCTAAGTCATTCATTTTACTAATAAGAAACAAAATGATTGGCTGGAGAGATGGCTCAGAGGTTAAGAGCACTCACTGTTCTTCCAGGGGTCCTGAATTCAATTCCCAGCAACCACATGGTGGCTCACAACCATCCGTTATGAGATCTGATGCCCTCTTCTGGTGTGCAGATAAACATGGAAGCAGAATGTTGTATACATAATAAATAAATAAAATCTTAAAAAAAAACAAAAAAATGATTAAGAGTATATTATTCTAATCCTACAGAAAAATGAGGAATAGGATACAAAACGTGTGTGTGTGTGTGTGTGTGTGTGTGTGTGTGTGTGTGTGTGT